GAATGAGTGAGTGTGAGTGTGTGTGTGTGTGTGTGTGTGTGTGTGTGTGTGTGTGTGTGATGCATGTACCTTGATGCAGGCTCCAGTGGTGGAGTCGCAGACGGTCAGAATAGAGACGTTCTGTGCTCGGTTTAACCAGCGCACTGCTGTCTTGGTCTTACTGATCCACTTCACCATCACCACATAGTGCTCCCTACAGACACAGAGAGCATCAGAGCATCGCCTGAGTCTCCAGTGCAGATCCGAAAACACAAACTCCATACCTGAGCTTGAGCTCATCTGGTGGTGTGAGTTCAAGAGTGTGTGTCGGGCCGTACAGATTGACCACAAACAGTTTCACCATGGGATTGGGCTGCCCAGCCTGCAAACACAACACGCGTCAACATTTGCAGTTATAAAAACAACTACGGAAATAATTTAATGTTTGCAGCAAGAACAGATGACAAAAAAATCTGACATTTCCTTCAACATACCACTGTCCGAAAATGTCTCTAAACAATTGAGTCACACTTCAAAATGTCAGAATGCCACTCAATTAGGTAAAAAGAAATCAAAGTGAGTGTCTGTATCAAACCCATCATGCATGAGTCTCAGTGGACTCTCTGAGCGTCGCTGTGTTCCAGTCAATATCCTACATGGACACACCTGAACTAGTTAATTCTGCGTCATTCTACACCCTGCTTAATGGAATCCAAATGGAATTTTGTTTCACGTTTCAATGTTGCTCGTACCTGGGTTAACAGTTAATTGTGGTCTTCGTAAACTGATGTTTCACGCTGTACCTTCCTTCTTATTCGCAGTAACTGGACGAACGCAGCATTCGACTCTAGCTTCCCACATCTTCATATTATATATTGTAGAATACTATAAAGTTTTTTCTGAGTTAATTTTTTGGACTATAAAGAGAAGAATAAAATGGTCTATTCACTTCAGTTCACATTTTTCCCCTCAAGCATTGAAACTCTTGTTTATGCCACACAATTTTTCCGTGACTGTCTAAAGCATGTGATTGGGTGTCTGTAGCATTGAGGCGTGACGTTATAACACTGAATTGTTTCACAATGTACATTTGGCACCAAAATACAGGGTTAACACTGCAAAAACTGCTCTGGGTGAAATGCAGGCTTTAGTAAGGCAATCCAGTATTTCCCTGTTATTTCAGCCTTTTAATACTTTATGCTCATTTTACATAAAATAATGCCATTCGTGTCTTTAATTGTCCCCCCAACCACGTGATACACCATATGGACATAAGTATTGGGACACGTGACCGTTAAACCAATAGGGACATTAATGATGTGACATTCTAAATACATTGACATTAATATGGAGTTCGTCTCCATTAACAGCTAATAACTTCCACTCTTCTGGGAAGACTTTCCACAAGATTGTGAAGTGTTTATGTGGGAACTTTTGCCCATTCATCCAGTAGAGCGTATGTGAGGTCAGGCACTGATGTTGGATGAGAAGGCCTGGCTCACAATCTCTGTTCCAGTTCAACTCAAAGGTGTTGGATGGGGTTGAGTTCAGAACTCAAGTGTTCTTCCACAACAAACTCATCCAACCGCATCTTTATGGAGCTTGCTTTGTGCACTGGGTCACAGTCATGCTGGAATAAAAAAGGCCCTTCCTCAAACTGTACCCACAAAGCTGGAAGCACAGCATTGTCCAAAATGTCTTGGTATGCTGAAGCATTCAGATTTCCCTTCACTGGGAGTAAGGAGCGGAGTCCAACCCTTGAGAAACAGCCCTGTACCATCATCCCTTCTCCAGCAAACGTTACAGTCAGCACAATGCAGTCAGGCAGGTAATGTTCTCCAAACCCAGACTCGCCCGTCAGACTGTGTGATTGGTCACTGTGCAGAACAGGTTTCCACTGCTCCAGAGTCCAGTATCTGTGTGCTTTATTCACTCCATCCCACACTTGGCATTGCACTGGTGATGTGAGGCTTCATGCATCTGCTCAGCCACTGAAACCCATTCATGAAGCTCTGCTGCACAGTCTTTGTGTTGATATTAATGCCTGTGGTAGTTTGGATCTCTTCAGCTCTCGAATCAGCAGACCTCTGGCGACTTTTACGCACCATGAGCCTCAGCATTTGATGAGACGCTCTGTGATTTTACATGGTTTCTGCAGTTCCTAAATACTTCCACTTTCCAATAATACCACTTATAGTTGAGCGTGGAATATCAGTCAGGGATAAAATGTCATGAACTGACACTGGTACTGTGATAGGGTGCATCATACAGTACCACGCTTGAATTCACTGAGCTCTTCAGAACAACCAATTTTTTCCACAAAGATTTGTAAATGCAGACTGCATGGCTAGTGCTAGACTTTAAACACCTGTGGCAAATGGATCTGATTGAAACTGCTGAGTTTGATAATTAGGAGGTGTGTCCCAACACTTTTGTCCATGTAGTGTACATCTGAGCAAGAGGATGTTACCTTTGGATACGGGTACTGTTTGCCTTTAGGGTATGTAGAGCCGGTGAAAGTGGGCAATGCCATGTTTGGCACCAGACTGTCATTCAGGACCAGAAAGGCCAAGCGTTCGCCGTCAGGTGACCACCAGTGCGCCACATGCGTGTGAAGGACCTCCTCTGTGCATGCGTGTTTCCAACAAAACAAGAGTTACAAAAACACTGAATAGTAAACTGGACTTTTTATTTGTGCTGTATGAGATCTTAGAGTCAAACACAAACACCTGAGCTTCACCATACGGCCCTCTTCTTCATCTGGGGAAACTGAGAGCTAACTTACAATCAACTTACACAAGAGAAAACTGGACAACACTTACTGTGTCTCATGAGAGGAAAGATGCATCATCATCATATATTTCTTAAATCTTCTCATAAACAGAGATATAACTGAGCCTCACCTTCATAGAGCCAATCAGCGATGCCATTATAGATGACGCCCTCTTTCCCAGATGAGGTCAGTCGCAGCGAGTTACTCCTGACATCCGACTGATAGTAAATATTATTCTCAAATATGTACACCTACACACACACACACACACACACACACACACACACACACACAGAAGATGTTTAAAATCAATCTTGATCATGCTCTTATTAAACCACAGTATAACTTTACACTTATAGAAAATTGCAGGAATTCCAACTTTAAATACTGTAACTACACTTAAACTTGGCTGTGTTTTATTCAGCGTTATTGCATGTGCTCTGACACGCTGCTTAGACACGTGACTCGAGTTTGAATCCAGAGTGTGTCCTCAAGTCAAGTCAGATTAATTTCAAAGTCGAACTGTTATGTCTATAACGTATTAGTGCTTTATATAGAGCGGGTTTTAGGGCTTGCTGATATGACAACATATAAAGATGATCCTCCAGATTTAGATCTGGATTTATTGTATTTATAGCATTGTCTAGCACATAAATGAGCACAGTAGTGACTCAGAAACACGTCTGTGCATTCAAAGCAATTAAGTTTCACAATCTGCTATAAACCTCCTTACATCTCAAAACATGATCTGATCAAAACCGAACACAAACACAATGCAAATACGTAACTGTTAACACATTTAGTCTTATAGACCGTTGCTCTGGAATCAACAGCTCCACTATTTCAGGAGTATCTGAAGGTAAAGAGTAAATGTGAATAACGAAAGAAGAGCTCACCAGCTGCTGGCCCTGAACACCCCACGCCGCATGCTGCAGTTTAGAATTCAACACCTCTGGAGGATCCAGCTGCAGAACCTCCCTACACACACCACACACAGACAGATACACACACACACACACACACACACACAGAGACACACACAGTTTTCAGACTGACATTATCAGCAGCTGGTGTGTTTCTGCTGCAGTAGGTGATTGCTGGCTGATGCTGCTCATCTACTGGTGTGTTTTATGGGTGAATGTGAGCTGAATGGATCTCAGCGCTCCTGTCAAACACTGATGATCAGAACAGCATTCAACATCACGGCAGCACGTTCAAAACATTTCTAATTTCCGCCGCTCCTTCTCTCCTATCAGGACTTATTTACTTGCACACTGTAACGAAGTACTTTGCTTCACGATATTTGAACCCCTCAGCTCATTCCACATGGTTCTGCCTACAACACTTAGTAAAGTCCTGTTTAAAGACTGAATCCTATTCCCTGTATTCTCTGAATGTCTGTGAGATACAGTGAGATCAGTAAAAGCTCTTACTCCACCTGGTGTGAATGCTGTATATGATGTAGGACGCTGTGAACGAGTGCCGGTAAACCTGCGGTCAGAAAACAACAACCCATATTAAACACAACAATCTTGAAGAAATTTTAAATGACTTCATTACCTTTGATTCGCAGTTAGTGAGAATAGAGAGAATATTAAGTGTAATCTGATCCTAAGTCATATTAATAGAATGAGAGTTCTTATTGAACGCTTGCTTAAAATCATTTTAAATATACTGTATGTGAACAAACTAAATGTCTAATGCCTCTATTGCACTCAGCTCAATGATTCATTGTGATTTTCTTGTCTTTCAGAGACAAAAAAATTCTTTAGGCTGCCTATAAAAGTACGCAAAGATTGCAGGTTAGTTCCCCTTCAAGGGAACTTCGAGCTGCGTCCCCCTCTAGGGGACATTTTGGGGAATGCTGCCAGCATGACTGGTGTCTGAAGCGTGTGTAAAACAACGCCAATCCTATTGGTCCACGTGGCCCGTGACGTCATAAGCGGGTAACCAAAAGTATAAAAGGGCACCTGCTGAATAGTCATCAACGTTTGTTGTCTTCAGAGCTGTCCGTTTGTTCACATGTGTGAAACGAATTTTCCTGGTGAGTTGAGCATGACATAATCGGTTTACCTAATGCCACGGATAATGCTTTTGCTGCGGATAATGCTTGTGTTGCTATAATGATGAAGTGTGAGCACAGAGTTGTTTTTTAGCTCAGAGTGTGCGGGATTACAAGATCACGGGCGGAGTTATATTCAGTTCAGTTGTGCCTCTCTAATATGCATTTCACGAGTTCACACTTACATATAATAGGATTTAGCCAATAGTAAGCATATTTGGCGTGCTATCTTGAAGGAGGGCTCCGAGCTCGGAATATAGCCCAAACCCAGAGAACCCCCCCTCCCTAGTATGGGATGAGAATAGTTTAAGAGTGAGGCGTTGGGGTGGAGGAGGGATTCCGGAGAACTGTCGTGGGACAGAGGTAAGTTGGCTATATATATATACATATCATGCTAATTAAGTTGAACAACTAGACGAGCTCCACCTGTGCTGAATTAGTTGATTATCTGATCGTGCTCCTCCCGAACCTTGTTGAAAGAATGAAAGTCAAGATGGCGCCAGGATGTTTGCCGGCTTGCCGTCGCAGTTTATCTATGTTGTTTGTTTTATCACTCGTACTGCTTGTTCTCCCCTGGTGTACGATTGCTTGACTCTACTGAATATTCAATCAGTGGTGTTTGGTTGTTTGAGTCGTGACCCCGGAGAAGTCTGCCAGCTGCATCCTCATTATGTGCCAGCCGCACTGAGGAAAATGTGTTACCTGCCAGGGTGTCTGTGCCTGTTGAAGAAACGCTGAAGGAAGTGTGGGAAGCGTGCTAGAAGCCTTGTGAGATCAAAAAAGTTCGGGAAATATCCTTTCATCGGACCTGCGTCTAAAGTGGCGGAGGCCGTTGATGTGATGCCGAACCTAAGATGCTCATACCTCGTTCCCGTCTTTCTGTCTTCATCTGTGCCAGTGCTCTGGTCCTCGCGGATGGTTTATGCAAGGCGGTGGTCAGGCGATTGGAGAGTAAATCGCCAAAATCTTTGTTTCCTGCATTATGGAAGTCCGGTAAACGATATCACTTTACACACAACTGTACCTTTTCCTGACTCCATTCCAGTGACAATGGCTTTGATTAATGCAAGGTCCCTGGCAAAGAAGTCTTTTATTTTGGATTATCTTTTTCTCTCTCATGAATTAGACTTCTTATTTGTAACTGAGACTTGGCTCAACGTCGGTGAAACGACTCCTCTCTCTGAACTTTCTCCTCCTGGTTGTAGTTTTTTTTAGTACACCCAGGTCCGTTGGCCGGGGTGGTGGTCTTGCTGTTATTTTTAAAGACAGGTTCAAATGCAGACTTTTACCTTCTGAGTCTCATTGTACATTTGAAACTCAGTTAATTATGTTGAATTCTTTTAAACCTGTGTTATCTGTTTTGATTTATAGAACCCCAAACATTCATGGGGATTTTATTCAGGAGTTTTCTGAATTTTTATTTGTTATTGTCCCTTCTTTTGACAATATTTAAATTTTGGGGGATTTCAACATGCATGTTTGTTGCCCTTCAAAGCCCCTGGTTAGTGAGTCATTTGATCTTTTACAGTGTGTTTCTGGTCCAACACATGAGCGTGGTCATACTCTTGACCTTTTATTATCTTTGGGGTTTTCAGTTAGTGGGGTGAAAATTGCAGACACTGTCTTTTTTAGCCCTACTTTCCCATGTAGTACTCAGATTATGAATGTTTCTTCTTCTATTGCTTCTTGTGCTCTTACTCCTTGTGCTGCTAGTAAATTTTCAGCAGCCTTTGGAGTTTCTCCTTTAATTAGCTTGATTGAGTCTCCCTCGGACCTGAACAGTTGGTCAATCAGTTCAACTCTACATGTTCAGATATTTTAGATCTTGTGGCTCCTTTGGAAATTAGGAATAAAAAGGTCAAGACACAGCCCTGGTTGAACAGTAATACCCGTGCTCTCAGGCAAGAGTGCAGAAGGGCCGAACGTAAATGGCTTAAAGATAAACTAAAGGTTTCTTATGAGATTTTGAAGAGTTGTTTGAGTGAATACCAAAGAGCTGTTAAATTAGCTAGATCTAATTATTTTTCTGATATTATCTGATATTATGTGCTTTTTCTACTATAAACACTGTACTCCATCCTGTTGTTATGCCATTACTCTCTCCTTCTGTTGATGCATGTGAAAAGTTTTTACAATTTTTCATTGATAAGACTGCTGGAATTAGATCCCAGATTTAATCTGATACTAATGATTTTATTGTACACTCTGTCCTTCCAAATCAATTGACTTGTTTTACGCCTGTCTCTCTTCCACAGCTCAAAGAAATAATTGCGCACATGAAGCCCACTAGGTCTCCCTGTGATGTGATTCCTTCTCTTTTATTTAAAGAGGTGGTTAATTCTATTGGTACATGCATTTTAACTATTATGAATAGTAGCTTGACATTTGGTGTTGTTCCACCTAGTTTTAAACACGCAGTTATCCAGCCCCTTCTTAAAAAAGCTGCTTTAAACTTCTCTGATATGAATAATTTTCGTCCCACTTCAAAATGGCCTTTTATTTCAAAGATACTGGAGAAGATTGTGTATGCACAGCTTAATGATTTTTTGGTGAAGAACAACTTTTTGTATAGATTTCAGTCAGGGTTTAGAGCCGGCCATAGTACAGAATCAGATATTTTGAGGGTTACTAATGATATTCTACGTGGTGCTGATTCTGGAAGTTGTGTTGTTCTGTTACTTTTAGATCTTGCATTTGACACAGTTGACCATAAGATTCTCATTGATCGCATTAGAGACCATGTAGGCATTCAGGGTTTAGCCTTAGAATGGTTTTCTTCATATTTAAAAGATAGGACTTGTTCAGTCAGTCTAGGGAATTACTCTTCATCTGTTGCCCCTCGTATGTGTGGGGTTCCTCAGGGTTCAATCCTGGGACCAGGTTTGTTTTCCCTTTATATGCTCCCTCTAGGATCAATTTTTGAAAAACACGGCATTCATTATCATTTGTATGCTGATGACTCACAACTTTATTTACCATTGAAACGCAAGGATCATTTATCCATTCAATCTCTGTATGAATGTTTGGCTGAGGTTAAGTGTTGGTTGGCTAATAATTTTCTCCAACTGAATGAGAATACGTCTGAGTTTATTTTATTTGGTAAAAAGGGATGTGTGGATGATGTCACTGACTGCCTGGGGTTACTTCCTGGGCAAAATCTTTCTAGAGTGAAAAACCTTGGTGTCATTTTTGACAAATTAATGCCGTTGTTAAAAATAGTTTTTTCCATCTTAGATCTATATCTAAGTTGAAGTCTATCCTTTCTTTTGAGGACTTGGAGAAAGTTGTGCATGCTTTTGTGTCATCTCGTTTGGATTATTGTAATGCATTGTATCTGGGTGTGAGTCAGGCCTCTCTCTCCCGCCTGCAGCTTGTTCAGAATTCAGCGGCTAGGCTTTTAACGGGTACTAAGAAGAGAGAGCATATTACTCCTGTGCTTATTAAATTACACTGGCTTCCTGTACGATACAGGATTCATTATAAAGTGCTATTATATGTTTTTTAAAGCTTTGCATGGTTTAGCACCAGAGTATAGTTCTGATTTAATCAGTTTGCATCAATCCAATAGGTCTTTGCGTTCTAACGATCAATTACATCTGATGGTTCCTCGATCTCGTTTAAAATGTAAAGGTGAACAGGCCTTTTCTGTTGCTGCTCCAAGGCTTTGGAATGACCTTCCTCTGTCTGTAAAATCTTCTCCTACACTTGTATTTCAGAGTGCGCTTAAAACTCATTTGTTTTCATTAGCATTTAAAAATGTCTTGTAAATTGTTCGTTGTTGTTGTTGTGGTATACGTTTATAATGTTTTATGCTTGATTTTATTTTTATATTTTTATTTAGTCTTTCTGTACAGCACTTTGGTTTCCACACCGTGGTCTTGAAAGTGCTTTATAAATAAATGAAGTTGAAGTTGTTGAATGAATGAAGCATTTATACAGCGCTTTATTGTGTATAGCTGTACACCTAAAGCGCTTTACAATCATGTGGGAGGGGATCTCTCCTCAACCACCACCAGTGTGCAGCATCCACCTGGATGTCCTCTGCACTTCTATAACTCTCTGGTTCAGCTCAGCTACCAAATCTGATCTCAGAAGACTACAGAGAATAGTCCGGACTGCTGAGCGAATCACTGGTACAACCCTCCCTACTCTCCAAGAACTGTACTCAGAGAGATCTGGTCGACGCTACAGAGCACTGCGCACCTGAACGACCAGACACAGGAACAGTTTCTTCCCTCAGGCAATCCATCTCATGAACACTTGACAATAATTGTGGAAAACACACTATTTATACGCTTATATACTTATTTATCTAACACATACTTAGTTTACATTTCGAATTTGCACATAATATACCTGTACAATCATGGCCAAAAGTTTTGGCAGTGACATAAATGTTGTGTTTTGCAAAGTTTGCTGCTTAAAGGGG